CAATATTGCTGTTTTTCTGTATTTTTGATCAAATAAATGCAGCCTTGGTGGGCATAAGAGACTACTTTTGCAAACATTAAAAATCTTATTATTCCAAACTGTTGACCCTCGGTGTAAAAATAATATATTATAAATTATACTAGTAATGAATAATGATATAAATAGTAGTCAAATGAAGCAGTCAAATGAATACATATTTACCTGACATCTTTTTCCATTTAAATGAGTGCATGTGTGTATGTGTAGGTGTTGGGCTTTGCTGGCAGAGTGGGTGTAAGTGGAGGGGGCACACGGCTCTCTGTGGCCTGTTTTCATTCGCCCTTCTCCCCCTCCAGGCTTTGGCCGTTGTCGTACATCCACATGCTTCATGCAGCCAGACAGTGCCGTCTTCATGGGCCACACTTTAAAGCTCTGGCTTACTTTTGCATATGGCTGCATGATATATTAAAAATAAAATATTGTGGTATGGCGTAAGGTGACTGTCAAATGATGGTGCAGGCTTCAATTTAAATATATGTATATTAATGGCTTTAAGCGTAGTTTTAACACACATTATAGTTTGTGACACAATGTTCAAGTGTCTGAGAACGGCTTGGTTCATTTACTGTGAATCGAACCATTCGAATTGAACACACAGAGCCGAGCCGAGCATCTCTTTGTGTATGGGCCTTCTTTTATTGTGTAGCTGTGTGTGTGTTTTTAAAGCATGGTCTGTCTTTCCCCTCGGGCTCTGCTGCATTGTGCATTAGGTGGGCCGGTGATTTCGGGGAAAGGGCGGCTGGATTCACAGCTGACTGCACCAGCTTTGATCAGGACCAGATGTAGAGCAGGATCTCCTGGAGAGGCAGGCTTACTCATTAAGACAGACTGTGATTGGACTCCTTGAACCCGCAGACACGCTTTCAACCCACCCACAGCATGTGGGATGCCATCAAAGCTTCCCATGGGAAAAAAGACACATCATTGGCATTTCATCATGTGTTTTTAAACTGTCCCAAAAGTCTGAAACATACTGGACACAAGTAAATGAAGGCAATTGTTCATAGTTGAAACAATGTTGTCTATGGCCAGTTTTATATTTCGGGATGACTGTTGTCATGGTTGATGACAGTTTATTGAAGGTAAAATCCCATGCTTTTTTGCATGAAGTTTTTGTTACGTTAACATGTAAGACACAGCTGCTATTATCGAAGGAGTGTGGTAAATTTTGTTAGTTCACCCAAAAATAGAAGTCTTGTCATCAAGACTTGTTATCTTCTAAGAAGATATGTTGAAGAATCTTAGTAACCAAATAGTATTGTTAACTACTGACTTCCATTGTGTGGATAATAAAAACACTTTCATTTCTCAAAATATCTGGCGTGTGCATGGAATACATTTGCCGGTCATGTCATGAATAAGGGCCGTTCACACGCAACGTGTTTTTGAAACAGTTGCATTCGTAAAAAAAAAAAAAAGTTGCGTTCAATCCTTCGTTGGCTGTGCTGATTTAAATCTAGTGGGTCTGGTGTCTTGTGTAGCAAGTTCAATGACACAGGTAGTGACGATTCTCTCCGGCCAATCAGTGATCAGCAGGGTTTACGCGTCACATTTTGGTAACTGTACGGCTCGCTTGGTACCTCAGCCGAGGTGGTACTGAAAAAAGTACCAGATACTGTACACAGTGGAAAACTCCCCAAAAGTGAGCCATACCGTACCGTACGTACCATGCAGTGGAAAAGCGGCAATTGAGTATCTGCTGATACCGAGTCCCGATCCGATAATCATATATTCCTAGTGTTTGTTTCACAATTCAAGTACATTAAAGTTATTAAAATCAATCCAATGTATGCAAAGTTGAGCAGAGAGCACAGGTAATATATTACAAGTAAAATACATTTACATTTAGTCATTTAGCAGACGCTTTTATCCACTTACAAATGAGGACAATGGAAGCAATCAAAATCAACAAAAGGACAACAATATATAAGTGCTATAACAAGTCTCAGTTAGCTTAACGCAGTACACGTAGCAAGGGTTTTTAAAATAATATAATAAATAACAAGAAAACCGATAGAATAGAAAAAGAATAGAGCAAGCTGTTAGAGGTCTTTTTTGCTTTTGTTAATTGTATAATAAATGAAAAGAATACAGATAGAATACAAAAAGATTAGAAAGC